AAAAATAGATCTAATATTCTTTTTTTTCCCGCCGTTATCGACATCTCCCATCACAGCTAGGCAAACCTTGTTATAGTAGACATGCGAGAAATCGTCGTGCTAAAGCCCAATAAAACCAGCGCACTAGAACAACAATCACCGTCGATGAAGAGAGCGCGCCTCTATGCCTCGCTTTAAGCGAGACCCAGGGAAACCTTCGCGCCAGGACAGCTCCAGATGGGCCGGCCCAGGTGCGCTCACATCCTCGGGGTTTTTTTCTATCATGTTTTAATTGCTTTATTACACTTATAAAATTATAAACATATATATTACAAGAATATAATTTCTATAATATTTAGAAAAAAATAATCACGCATTTAAAAAAAGTAAAATGTATATAGAAAAATGTGGGCCATGTATACAAAAAATGTATAATAAAATATACAATGTATGAAAAAGGTTGATCATGTATTTTAAAAATTTAAATCAAGATATTGCAAACATGACAAACAAGTATTTTAAAAACCATAATCAAACATTTAAAAAATGTTACATTTGTATAGAAAAATGTTGACCATGTATTCAAAAAATATTAAAGTGGCATTTTAAAATGTTAAATATGTGTATATAAAATGTTGACCATGTATTCAAAAAATGTTACACTTAGATATGAAAAATGTTAAATGTGTATTGAAAAAATGTTGACCATGTATTAACAAAAATATTAAACTTGCATTTTAAAATGTTAAAGGTGTATCAAAAACTTGTTGACCATTTATTCATAAAATGTTAAACTTGTAATTGAAAAATGTTAAATGTGTATTGAAAAAATATTGACCATGTATTCAAAAACTATTTGAAAAAAATTAAATGTGTACAGTAAAAATGTTGACCATGTATTCAAAAAAATGTGTAACTTGTATTAAAAAATGTTAGTTTTGTATAGTAAAAAAATTGACCATGTATTAAAAACATAGTTAAACTTTATTTGAAAAATGTTAAATATATATAGAAAAAATGTTGTCCATGTATTACAAAATGTTAAACTTGTATTTGAAAAATGATAAATGTGTATAGAAAAAATATTGTTTTTATGTATTCAAAAAATGTTAAACTTGTAACCTAGCTCCTTCCACTTGTATTGCAAAAATGTTACACTTGTATTTCAAAATGTTAATATGTATTGAAAAAATGTTGACCATGTATTAAAAAATGTAAAACTTGCATTTTAAAATGTTAAATGTGTATCAAAAAAATGTTGACCATGTATTCAAAAACTGTTAAACTTGTGTTTGAAAAATGTTAATTGTGTATTGAAAAAATATTGACCATGTATTCAAAAACTATTTGAAAAATATTAAATTTGTACAGTTAAAATGTTGACCATGTATTCAAAAGATGTGTAACATGAATTAAAAAAATGTTATATGCGTATAGTAAAAAATTTGACCGTGTATTAAACAAATTGTCAAACTTTATTTGGAAAATGTTAAATGTGAATAGAAAAAATGCTGTCCATGTATTAGAAAATTTTAAACTTGTATTTGAAAAATGTTAAATGTGTGTAGAAAAAATATTTTCTATGTATTCAAAAAATGTTAACCTTGTATTTTAAACATGTTAATAAAGCATTTCAAAAATAAAAATGTTAAATGTGTATAGAAAAAATGTAGACCATGGATTAAAAAATGTGTATTTGGTATCTAAAATATGTTAGTCAAGCTTTAAAAAATGTTAAACATGTGTTAGGAAAATGTATTAGTATACAGAAAACATTTAATGTAGAGAAACAATGAAACCCGAGAGGCCGAGAGTATACAAAGAAAAATATTGAAAAGGGGAAAGAAACAAACAAAACCGGAAAGAAATCGAAGAAAAGGAAATAAAAGAAAAAAACTGTGGAAAACAGAGAAAGAAATGAAGAAAACTAAAGGAAAAAACGAAAAAAAGAAAGAAAGGAGAAAAACCAGAGAAAAAACGACAAAAACCACGTGGAAAAACAAAAACAGAAAAGAAAAAAAGTGGAAAACCCGCCTCCATTCGCCTCAAGTACGTCTCGCCCTGACTAGTTATCACATATTGGATGTGATCGTAGTGGCTAGCAGTGTGGGTGATATTCCTGGAGACCAAGGTTCGAACCCAGCGTATGTAACCCGGGAAATGCCGAACAATAAACAACGACGACTAGCCTGATTGGGAACAGTCTACCCCCACACTAACAACGCACGATGAGTACCCCGCCTCCCCTACACATCGTAGGCCAGCATACGGGTAGTGGTACGAACCCGCTCTCACACGGCATAGAAAGCACACGTGAAGGGGCAACGCAAAAAGACACTACACAAAAGGGCCCCCTGGGCTCATCTGCTCCCTCTCAGCAAAAAATTCAAAAAAAATTCAAAAAAAATACTAGAAAAATTCAAATTTTTTGTGGTGGTAGATAATTTGACGCGTGAGCTGCGCGCTAAAATTCATATCATTTGAACATCTGAGCAGCTCTCGGCAAAAAAGACAAATCAAGGAATATGCACTCGTTCGCGATGCAGCATGGCGGTATCGGTTCAGAGTTTGCGAAAGAAACACGAGCCGAGCTCCCATCATCTGAGGCGGGCTGTTGGAGGGTTTAAAGCAAAACTAGAAATCCTGCATTTAAAAAGCGAAACAGCCCCGTGGATAAAATTGGATGCATCCATTCCGCCCTGGAAAGTCACAAGGCATCTGCCTATCCATTTCGGCGCTACACACACGCGCGGCACGTCTTCACGGGGCGTGCCATGCCAATCAATCGATTCCACATGCCCCACGGTCCTCCTCTACCCCCCGAAGAAGAACAAAGATGCGGCGCTGCTTTCGTTGGTGCTTGATGGCATCCATCCATGGAGGGACTCACTTGAATGCTTCAGAGCTCCAAAGTTTGTGAACGAAGGGCGAGCCGAGCTCCCAGGGCCGGCCCTGGGGAGGGGCGGGGGGGCGGCCGCCCCGGGCCCCCAAAATTCAGGGGCCCCCTATGGCCCATGCTGCAGACGCGCGTAGGGAGCAGCAGGTCGATCGATCGATTTGTTTCCTCGAAAAAGCTAGCGAGCGAGGCAGCCAGCGGTTCGTTCACATAAAAAAGGAGAGGGATCGCGTGAAAAAAGGATCATCGATTGATCCGATTCTGACGGTTCCCTTCCTATTCTGTTCCATCACGTAGACGCAGCCCTAGGCCGCCGACGCTCGATGTCGTACATGTATTCCAGCCTCTCAGTCGTCCCCTGGTAATTTCCTTAATAATCCGGTTATGTACGCGGCAAATTTCAATTCTGGGGATCCATCATCACGCCCCTTTGGCCTTTGCTCAGTTGATCTTCTCTCAATCCTCTGCAGACTCCAAGCGCTACACTGCTGCCGTGCTTTATAGGCAAACGCACTGAAGTTCGATCGTCAGGATTCAGGAACCGAGGTATATATTCATATAATGTTGATACAATAAATTCTATGGTTGCATAGCCGGCACCGTTCAACGATTGATCATTGATGCAACAAACTGTTTTGTTTTCAGCATTGTGTGTGTTAATCATGTCGTCTAGCAACTGGACAAATTCATCTGATAGCCATAAAAGAAAAAGGAAGAAGGAAGTGGATAAATTGATACAATCAGAGCGCACACATATTCACAATTTTTTCAAGAAGAGTGATATTGGTGCTTCCACTGCTTTGATAAACCCAGATGACTAGTAGGTGATCGTTGCCATTCGGGAAGAGCAACAGACTAATGGGAATTCGGAAGAAGAAAATGTCGAGACCAACATCAGCGAGAACAAAGTAAGTTGCTCGGTAATTCATCAGATGCATAGGCACAATTTGCTACTGTTGATGAAATTTTCGGGCATATGAGAGAAGTACTCATCGGCCGAAAGAAGCTTTTCGAAGTTATACCAATATATCTGCTTATTGCATCTTATTTACTGTCCCTGTGACGGCCACATCGGCCAAAAAAAGCTTTTCGAAGTTGAAATAATTGAAGAATTGTTTGAGATCAACAATAACTCAAGAGAGATTAAATGGTTTGGCTACATTATGCATGGAGAAGAAATTAATGGATGAGATTGACATCGACCCCATCATAAGTGACTTTGCATCAAGGAGTGTTAGAAGATTTTTTTAAGGTAATTTCAGAGTATAAATTACTGGATAATCATACTGATTTTGGATGCATTTAAATGTTAAATGTTATTTGTAACGCTATATATAAGTATATTCATTGATGTTACTATGATGTGTATATTTGAAGGTTCGCCCCGGGCCCAAAAAACTCAGGACCGGCCCTGCGAGCTCCCATCATCTCAGGCGGCTGTGCCAAAGCAAAAAAAATGAAAGGCTGCTTGGTCCATTCTGACCAAAGCTACCATCATGAGCAGCAAGGTAAAAAGATAGAGGGAGGTCATGAGGATCAGCAAGGTGAAAAGATAGAGTCATCACAAAAAAAAGGTAAAAAGATAGAGGGAGCTCGTGAAACCAGAGGGAGATTTATTACACAAGCTGATGCATCCAAACGATCCTCTATTGACCTGTGAGCTCAGTACCGAGTACTGACGCCTTATCCTTTTGGGCCTTTCCTGCAACCAAGCAGTGGCATCTACGTGCTCGCTCAAATGGACCACCTGTTACTGAACTGTACCTTCCACTTATTACTGAGCTGATCTACTCCTTTGATTAAAGTGTGTACTGGATCGAGCCTTGATTAAAGGACCACAGTGCATTAGACATGGAACATTGCATAGACGATGAACGCAGTATCAATGGCGTAAAATTTGCGCTCGATGATGGAACGGATGTCAAAGAAAATCCACGGACGAACAGGTTTTGCATTGAGGGACAGAGAAAAGAGCATCATTTCCACGGACGAATTTATACAAAAGACACCTCCACATAACAAGGGAACTGCAAGGCAGAGACAACAAACACGGTCGAAGTTCATCGGAGAGACGTGCGGACCTAAAATCGAAACTGAAACGAGCAGCTGCGACGATCCATCGATGTCATGGATCCATTCTACGGAGTACTAAATAAAGATTCCCATGGAGGCGGCCGGCGACGACGCGGCGGATCAGCGGCCGGCGCACTCGGGCGGCTGGACGGGGAAGCGGTCCGTGTCGACGCAGTAGTCGTAGACGAGGTGGTGCGCGCGCGCCCAGATCAGCTGGTGGCTCTGGTGCACGGACAGCTCCTGCATGTCCTTCTCCTTCCACCAGTACCGGCCCTCCTTTCCCCACGAGCTGCCGCTGCAGCGCGCCACCTCGCCGGCGTCCGAGTCGGAGGCGTTGGCGGCCCAGGCACAGCCCTCCACCCGCACGTCCCGGAAGGTGACCACGAACGGCGCGTGCGACCAGTCCGTCTTGACCAGCCCGCCGCGCGTGGCCCAGTCGTCCGCGTTCCAGATGGAGCTGTACACGGCCATGGGCTGCGGCGACGGGAACGCGGACGCCGTCTGGGCCTGGGTGGCGGTGGTGTTGGTGGCGTTGTTGGGGTGGCGGTGGTGGCCCTTGAGCTTGGTGGCGGAGGCGTTCTTGTTGTCGTAGACGCGGATGGGGGTGTCGTCGACGAGGAAGACGACCTGGCTGGGGTTCCAGAGCACGGCGTAGGTGTGGAAGTCGGCGGTGGGGTCGAACCAGAGGTCGATGCGCTGCTCCCGGTTGCCCACGCCGTCGATGTACAGGTTGGTCTGCACCAGGTACGGCTCGCCGGTGACGTTGCCCAGGAACTCGAAGTCGAACTCGTTGTGCTTGTCCCCCGCCGACGACAGCTGCGCATTGCAAAGATTAGTCCTCTTACATTTACTCGAGGTTGAGGATGCAGCAGTACCGTCAAGCAAGCACTAATTAAGCACTAGTAGTAACTCAACGGCGGTAAATCTTTCAGGGTTATTTTGTTTAAAGTGGCAGCTTTAAAGAAAGTTGTTCTGTTGCTGAGCTTGTTCACGTGCCGTGTTCTTTGTAAATAGTAGGTGCTTGGCAGCATCCATGGCCTGACCATGACAGACATGGCAAGCATGTCCCATCGACCCATTCCCATTTTACTCATATTAATCCTTATAATGGAATCAACACTGAAAGATGCATGTTCTTGTTTCCTAATGCAGAATGAATGCAGCAGTTCACGGGGCAGATGTCACGGCCTCACGGGCAGCTGAAAATGGCAACGGCAAGACGAACAGTAACAGGGGGCAAAGCAAGGCGGGCCTGCACTCACTCACATAGAAAGCAGTGACGACGCCGGCGGAGTCCCCCGGCACGAGCTTCAGATCGGCGGTCGCTTTGCCGTACAAGAACCGGTTCTTGGACGCGAATCCCCCGCCTGTCAAAGCCACAATGCAGAAATGCTCAGGCCATCAGCGAAAGAAGAGGTACTAGTACATAATCACCGAAGAACAAATGCGCGCGCCTCTGTGAAGTGAAAGCTTACCGGAGGAGCTGTCGAGGCGGAGCTTGAGGAGGTCGTCCTCGTACAGGACGTGGTCGTTGGCCCAGCTGGGCTGCACCACGTCGTCGAACTTGCTCGCCGCCGCCGCCGCCACGCCGGCGCACACCACCGCGGCCACGGCGAGGGTCGCCGCGGCGACCAAGGCGCCGTTCTTCCACCACGCCATTGCCGGGGAACTCGCAACGCTAGCTACTGCCTCCTCAGTGCTCCTTCCCCTCACTGTGCTGTACTGAGCTCGCCGTGCGCCGTGTGAACCGTGGTTGATCCGGCCAGGGCCTAGGCGCGCGTTATATAGGTGGGCGAGGTAGTGGGGGAGTGGGCTTGCGGAGGAAGGGTGGCACGTGACACGAGGGCGCCGGGCGGCCACGTAGGAAGGCGAGGAAGCCGTTGGGTGGTGGGGGCCAGGCCCGTAATAATTTTGGCAACTTTTGCGGCATTGGCCACGCCCCTGTCTTCCTGTCACGCTGCTGCAAGAGTGCTAGCCCGACTGCTCGCCCTACTGGCTCCGGACGAGCCGAGCCGAACCGTACGCATCATTCAGTACGATCCTCGCTGGCCACAGCTGGCTCGGGGGTAAAGAGCAAAGTGCGAAAGGTAGAAAAGAGAGCGAGTAAACACAGCACAGCGGTACCGTCGAGTACAGCAGAAGCTAAGATCAATGCGTGCGTGCCGCTGCGGCACGGCTTGACGGAGAAGCTAGCGAGAGGCATGCAGGGCGGACAGTGCTACCTCCTGCACTGCTACGTTGCGCACGCCCGTCTCATCTTCACTAGTGCTAAGTGCTAACCTGACCTAGTCGTTAATTAAGCACAGGCGCACTTACGGAGAGTGGAATGGGCATCTTATCTTAGCGGCTCAAGGAATATTTTACGTGGGCAGATCGAACGGTGACGTCCGGGCAGATGCCACTGCCGGGTTTAGTGTACGCTGCTTTATGCTTAATATACCGATGGTGTACTACATTGGGAACGGGTCCCCAAGAGGGAGCAGTATCATGTTGGTTCCAGCTGTGGATGTTAAGTGATACGAGAGGGCATCTCTACTTTACTGAAGAAAAGTGTCACGTTGCCAAATATACTTAGTAGTACTACTCCTTAAAGTACTCTACAGAAACTACAATGTACAAGGAGTACATTTCCCCATGATGTTTAATAGTGCTCCTCCAGAAAGTGCATTTGGTGGCTGGGCTCCATGAAGCCTTTTATTATTGTTATTACCAAAAATATTTTTTCTACACTTTCAAAATAAGTCTGAATACATGTGAATCTGTATATGTGCATCTCAATCTCCCTTTCGCCATCACCGGTCCGCCGGAGTATGAATCCTACCGGGCATTGAGGATGAGGGTTACCGAGACCCGACTCACTGCCGACATGACAGCGGCGGCGGTGCACGCTGACGCAGAGGAGGAAGCCATCTGTGCCCACACTGTAAAGAAGCGGTAGTGGAGGAACATGTGCCGCCTCGCCCGAGAGCATAATCGGGCGGTTCATGCCATGGCCAGACTGCCACCCCCCTCCCGAAGGAGGTGAATGAGGACAACGAAGAGTCGGACAGCTTCGGCGACAATCCTGCTCGATCCATACCGCGTCTTCGACCGCTACTTCCGTAAGAAGGACGACTAGGCGTAGGGAAGGGCAAGTGCAGCCGTGGATGATCTTCTCCATAGCTAGCATGTAGGTTAAACATGCAAACTTTTGGTGGTCCGATGACATGTCCTAATATAGTAGCCGGACGATGTGTGTGATGCATCGTTAGAGCATCTACAGCCAAGTGCCCAAACCAACCTCAAACACCTGGGCGGACGGTCCGGTCACAAAAATCCAACCTAGATGAGCTGCTTAAACGGGCCTCAAACGCTCGGGCTGGCCGGCACCCATCATATCCATCCTAAAAATGAGGCGGATATAGGGGCGCCCGGGCGCGTTCGTCACGTCGGACCCGACAGCCCTACCCCACCACAATTTGCACCAAATCCACCAAACCCTTCCGTCTCCTCCCGCCGTCCTCCTACCTTTCCCGCGCCCGAGCCCACGCCGTCCGCCACCTTGCTCCCCATCCTCACCATCGGTCCCGATCCGCTGCCCTTGATACCATCCATCCCGTCCCTGACCACTTCAACGGAGACTGCGCCTGCCTCGTCCTTAGAACGAGTTGGGAGAACAAGAAAGAGGAGAGGTACAAGCTCATATTGGATGCACAAAAGGAGAAGATGGATTGGGACCGGAAGAGGTCCGAAAAGAAGCTGGAAATTTAAGGGAGAAGATCGAGTTGGAGAAGCAAGAGGCGGCGATCAAATGGGAACTCAAGAAGGCCAATACATTTGGAGATACTGAGCTTGAGAAGAAGAGGTTACAACTCGCACGGGACACAAAGGATGCGAAGATCATGTTGGCAGACAAAACTCTCTTGGATGAGCATGCAAAGAAGTGACTTGCAGATAAGAAGGAGATCAAGGAACGCATGGAGTACGAGAGTGGCAGCAACAGCGGCGGAACATCCGGCAATGATACAGGCGGAACATGCAGCAAGGATGCAGGCGGAGCAGGACGCAAGTATGGCCTCGGTGTAGGCGACATGGATGGCGTCCGGACAGTGATCTGACAAGCGAGCCATCCGTCACACTCAGACATGGATTTGATTTTGGCATGTTCGGTTTGTTGAACTATGATTTGCTTTGCTTTGTTTCGAACTGTTGAATTCGAACAATTTGTATCGTATAATCGACGTGTATGGATTGCATGGATTTGAGGATCCGCATTTGAGGTATGTGGATGTGCGACACAAGATATGAGGGGCCTGCGGGCGCGTCCGGGACGCGCTCGCGGGCATATAGGAAGCCGGATTTGCCAAGTTGGCTGTAGATGTTCTTACATGGTTGCATTAGTTTGTATGGATTTGAGGTGTCCGGTCATGAGAAGAGAAATTTTGCTTTTGACCGGTAAGTGCCCGCGGACGCATCTGTGAGCGCTTGAGGGACCAGATTTGCAGAATCCGGCTATAGATGCCCTTATTCAATGAAACTTTACATATACTTAAAACCATGTGTACCTTTTTAAAATATTCTCAGAATATTTGTTTTTATTTTCTTTAAAAGAGCTCCCTGGAGCCTGTCCTATAAGGACTTGTACAATGCAATGTGATTGGGGAAGGTTTTTAGAGAAATAGATCAGGCTTTTCTTAAATAGCCGTGCTTACTTCTACAGGAGAGGTTTTTAATAAAGTGTCCGAGCTATACAAATAAGTATCAGTACTTAAGCAAAAACCTGATTTATTTTCTTTAAATACATTCTCTTAGTACTCCCTCGTTTCCTTTTAGTTTGTATATAAATTTGATCAATATTCACATTACGAAATCAATGTTATTAGATGCATCACGGAATGAGTTTTTCGTACCATATAGCTCTAGTATTGTTGATATTCATATTTTTCTTATACAAATTGTTCAAATTTTGTGTAGTTTGATTTTGACCAACTCTTATAATCCCTCCTTCCATGTAGATAGGCCGAATGTGTTTTTCGAGGTTAACTTTGACATGTTAGAGCAAGAATATATGACATACAAGTTACACAAAGCACACCATTAAATTCATACGTGGAAGGAGCTTACAATGATATAATTTGCGCATTATGCATCTCATATATTATTAATCTTATCCATAGTCAACGGTAAACTCGAAAAATGTATTAGGTCCTATATATATGAAAGGAAGAAGTATGCAGATTAGAAAGAAACAGAGGGAGTACCTTGGATTGTAGGAAGCCTAAAACGCCTCACTCGATACTCCTCGCAGTTTGTGGGTGCAAAGCACGATGATAATGTCACACGCACACATGCTCTGTCTTTTGCTGGAACGGACAAAAACTCACGATCGAGGCATCATTCCACGAGCTCTCTCCTTTTGGCTCTCCGGACGCCGATGTCGAGGCGCATAATCCTTGTCTCTCGACTCTCGCGCGGCGCATGAATTAACAATTGTGGAAGAATCTGCAGCGCTGGTGCACATAATAATTGTAAGTAACTACAGTACTAGTACGTACCAGGCACAATCGCCGGGCTGTGCACGCTGTTGATGCGAGCGATCGGTTGTGACGGACATACACGCGAGTTCGTGGAGGAGCAGCCGTCGTGCGGAACAGTGTACGGAGAAAACACTCGCCAAGGACACGGTCGTGCTGTCGGGCACCTTTCGTTCAACTTGAGGCTCGCTAGGGTTTGCGTCGCGCTCACGAGGTTCGACCCCGCATCAGATTACCGATGAACAGAGTGTGTTTGGAAGCAAACTTTTTATACTACTAGTAAAACAAATGTTCACATATACTCCGGCATATATGCTCTCGTATCACGAATTAGACATTATGGTAATTGTTAAGGACCCTGATTAGTGGCACTCCTTACTTATCGGCTTTGATTAGATCCATGAGTTAGAGTTAGTTTGAGCTAATTGGGGCTCAAATAGCCCTAAAGTATTCAAACATGAGGGTTAAATCGGAGCAAGATGCACTAAACCCATCCAAAAAAATTATCTCATTCAAGAGGTGCTAACTGGAGATAGTTCTCATTGGACCCACTGAAAAATCACTTTTTTTTCTCTATCCCGCCGGCCAAGTGGTGCTAATTGGAGCTAGTTGTCGTGAGTCCCATTGAAAGAATCACTTTTCTCTCTCCATCAAGTGCATTTATTGTCAATTTAACTCTATCATCCAAACACCTCTTTAACTAAAATTAGTTCATAATTAATTATAAGTTAGCCTAACGTCTAGCTAAATTAGAGTATCCAAGGAGCATCATTTGAGATTGCTATCAGCACATTACAGTGCAGTGCTATACTCCTTTCTTTTCATTTTTGGCAGACGAGACACACTCTAGCCTCCTTTTGTTATCTGAAGTGAAGGCCGTGATGATGATTAGTAGCCCGTATCTAGTGCAACTGGCATGTGGGCCACATCCATTCGCAGCTGGTGGAGCGGTGAAGTCATCTACAGTAGCGTGATCATACTAGCGGTAGCGGGGCCGCTCCTTTTCCGGTCCTGGAAAAAGTGAAAAGGAAAAGAAAAAGGTCTCGGAGTTTGGACTCATCTTTTGTGTCCAAAAAGTTTTTAAGACGAAACCAACAACCCCCCGGTCCCCGATTAACCTTTTGTCAGGTACTACTACTACAGTAA